TCCAAACTCTCAGAAAGTCCCTTCTTATAGATCTTAAAAAAAAAGAGGATTACTCACAACACTGCCTCAGGCACATGTGATTTATTACAACTACACAATTTACAGTTTACCTTGGATTTTAGTCTTCCATATTAAAAAAAAAAAGAATCAAACCTCCTCAGTGTGAAGTCTCGCCTGCCGTGAAAAGTTAGCTTTTCACATAAGCCCAGAAGCAAAAAATAAAATTATATTTGAACAAAATAACTCAGTGACTAAGAAACACTTGCACTCAGTCCTCACTCTGAAGTAATGATAAAAAGTTATTACTCCTTTCATGTTATAAAAGATTAATTTATATTAGTATTAAATTAATTGCAATTCAATTGCTAATTTAACAGTGGAGGTATTTATAGATGCTGCATTTAGATGAAAATAAAACAAGTAAAACAACCAATTCAAGAACACTTTTCCACTTTGGCTAATACAATATAATGGACAAAGCAAACAAAATATGTGGTATTTTAAAACTGTATAATAGTTTGGGGAAAAAAATCTATTTGTGTGTTGTTGTCTCGTATTATCTATACATAACAAAAAGCAAGATGTAATTTTTAGGTAAGCTACAAACATTATTATCACCTACAAATTGGCACAGTGACACAGAAGCAATTCAAAGTTAGGATATTAACGTAGGAGGCCTTGGTTCAAAACACTCCCTCTGCATGATTTAAAAGATGGACCTAAACCTGGGCCTCACCTCCCAGGAGAATGGCTACCTACCAATCAGGTTACATGGTGGTCTGGGGTGAGTCTCTGTTCCCTCGCAGACATTAAAAAAAATGGAATGATTGGGCTGTGAGATATTTTACACTATACTTCTGCCACACCAAACATACACTGGCAGGAGGCATGTTTGGGATGGGGCATAAAATTCCTTAAATCCCAACTGTGCAATTGGCACAGGACAAAATGGCACCTGGGACTGTCCCCAGCCTGATCCCATCGACTGGAAAGGGAGTGACTGTTTCCCAAAACCTGGGGCTGCCCTGTGCCCAATCCTGACACTAGGTTGAGTTTCAGGATTGGGAACAGAGCAGTGTTAGGTCTTAAAGTGTGCTGTCAGCAGTGTGCATGCGACCAGGTGACTGCTCACTGAAGTAAACAGCTGGGGATTTGGGAATTCCTCTATCCCCAGCTGCCCATGCCACAAACCTGATAGGGGCGCACATTTAGCCAGGAAGCTCCCCAGTGCCCATGCTCCAACTCAAAAGCTTCCATGTACAAGTGTATGCAGCTGAACATCTGTGAGGTCTTGGACCCCAGCTGTCTGTGACACAGGCCCAGGAATGGGGTGTTCAGCCTGGATTTAAATGTCCCCACATAAGGGAGTCCTTTGGCTTACAGTAAAGGAACATTTAAAACCATACCATGAAGCCCAATCTTGCATGCCACACACTGAAACACAATACATACCCATCACAAACATGTTCTACATTCCACATGGAACATCTTTGTGGCTGACTTGCCATTTTATCAGACCATAAATAGGTTGAAAATGTGGCATGGTCCAATGTATGGCTCAATTAACATGTTACTCATGGCAGAAATGTAATGTCTGCCAGGATACGGTCACTCCTGTTTCATCTATTCCATATTTTATGAATGTCAATAGTCATTGGGAAGGCACAACTTGAAGGCCCATCTAGTAGTTAAGAATACTCTTCAAAGAGGACAGAAACCAGAATTGTTCCAATTAAGATGTAATTATTTATACAAAGTAGAACATCTTTAACAGGAGAGACTACCTTAGAATACCCTAACAGCTGCGTGACTAGGGCATTCAAGAGCGGAAACCCGAAGTCAAGCTCCTGATCTAAATAAGAGAAGAGGGAATTTGAATCTGGGCCTTCTAGCTCCCTGACTAGCATTTCAAACACCGAGCTATAGGCTAGGGGGTCTGTTGTCACCATTGGCACTTTTTCTGTATTGTACAAATGGTACCTTGAAAGGAAAAAAAGTAAAATGAACTATTAAATGAGATGTTTTATACCATGGCTGTCCGATGGGCAGCCTATGGGTGGTTAATGTGTAGCCATTCAACCTGTGGGCCCTGAAACCTTGTCTGTCCCACTATCATGCCAGAGACACAGAGACTTTTTACTGTTTAGAACTTGATTATACAAACATTAAAAGCAAACAGTGAAAGTGTAAAGGTATGTGGCTTTCCCAGGGGCTGAGCATGAAACACTTGCCAGCAAAAAGCAACCCTCCGCCCCCAATGTCACTGTAGGTTGAAACCTCCTTCCCCCATGCCCCTCATGGAGTTATATGTGAAGGACCAGCTGTCCATTTTCCACCTTGCAAAGTACCCCCTTGATGGCCCAGCATGATGAAAAATTGATGCACATTTTGTTGCAAGGTGAAGTGTCCAAATTTGGAGAAAGGAAGAGAGAGAGGAACCGACTTCTAGACAGAATGACAAATTAAGTTTTACAAGGAATTTTAAAATGTGGAATTTAAAAAAAAAAATTAATGTACATATGTAGGTCTTGAAAAGCTTATGCAAATAAATTAATGGAACTTAAAATCAGACAGTTAAGTTTCAAAATTATGAAAAGCAGTAATAATTCTTAAATATATAGATGTTGCACTGTGCTTTGGCACATAGCTGGTAAGATTCTTTGAGTAATATTAACCTCATATTTGCTTTCTTCTCATCTTTTGGCTTAAAATAATTTATACTTATAGCATAAGAGAACTTCTTTGTTTAAATTAAACCTTCTTCCAACCATAAAAAGCTAGGTGGGATCAACATAATCAATGGAAACTTATTAAGAGTTAGCTGTACTTACAACGAAGTTTCTTAGAATCCTTATTATCCTTCTCTTTGTCTTGCTTTTCCAGCCCTGGGGAATCTGGTACATCATCTTCTAATGCCTCATCAGACTCTACTGCCTATTTTAAAAAAAATTATATACAGGTAAATCAGGTTGACTCTTGCAGATTAGAGGACACAGTAATAATATATTTTAATCACACTCCTGGGAAATCCCATCTGCAATAAAATAATGCTTAAAAAAAAATACTAAACTAGTGATCTTTTGGAACTGTGATGTCATAATCTATTATGTTATTTTCATTTCTGTATCAGTAAGAATAGTATTTAACCATTAACAATTATGGGAATAATTTAGAAGATAAAATACAGAAAATGTTATTGAACACTCAAAAAGTGAATTGAATACAGTCAATGTTGAGGAATGAGCAGGAAAAGAACACATCTGATGAGACTTCAAAAGCCTCAAACAATGTATACATATGGTATTTTTTCCACAGGCAAGTAAACAATACTAGCTATTTCATTATTCCCCCTCAGAATTATTATTATTATTATTATTTTATTTTTTTTAAAATCAGCGTGAGGACAGGGTTACTTCCTATAAACATACAATAGTTACCCTACCTTTAAATCTTGAAGTTTGCTGTTTCTGTAACATGACTGTTGGCAAAGCATTATTGGACATATTGCCAGAACCATGCACTGAAATCAGTGTGATACAATGATCTTGTTGGCTTCTGAAAACCTTGCCCTGCGCATCAACGTTCATGTTTTCTCAGCACATTAAGTTGCATCTGAGCAATTCTATCAGTGTGGAATATTTTCCACAATCAAAGATTCCAACCATTCAGCACTTAAATTAGAGTAGTTCTGGGAGCTGCCACCTCCCTGCTGGGCCCCCCTCGGGCCCTAGGGGAGGCACACCTGGGCCAAGGGTTAGCGAGGATTTAGTTAGGGAGCTTCTGGAGGGGCTGGACGTTTTCAAGTCAGCCGG